AACTCATCCTACTAAGTGAAAACCTTAATTTGAAAATCTAATTATCATTCTTATGCATTTGAAAATGAACACATGGTTTTAAAATAATTAGGCTCTCTTCTTCCTTTTTACCACTCTTTATGAGCCTAAGTAGAACTCCCTCCTTGAACCTTACCCTCCTTTGAAGCCAAATGTTCTTGTGTGACATCTTTGTGAGGCCTTACTTTTGGTTTGAACTTGGCATAAAGTGTTAGGTTTAGGCGACATGATTTGGTTTTCATATTGATTGCTAGCTTTGCATTTTAAAGCTAGGTATAGGCTTAGGATGAGTTTGGGGGATCATTGGGGTTGCTTTCTTGTGTATTTGTTTTCGGTTCAAAAGAGTTTGTGTTTTAAGGAAAGAAATGAGGTTTTAAGTGAAAGGTTTGTTTTTAAAACTAAGTATGCTCTATTTCAGAAAGTAGCTCTCTCTAAATAAATAAAAAAAAAGAAAAAAAAAGAGAAAAAGAAAAGAAAAAAAAAATAAAAGAGCCTAAGTGCCAAATAAAGAAAAAAAATAATAAAAAGAGAGCTACTAATAAGAAATCTTTAAGAGCAAAAATATTTTTCAAAAACCTTTTCACTAGCCTAAAAAGTTTAAAATGTATTTCTTTTGAATTGGGGATTGCTAAGTTGAGAAGAAAGGGTAGACTCTTAAGTGGTGAGTGAGGATTAAATTTCTTAAATGGAGGGGTATAAGACTGTTTGATAGTTTACATGGATAGATGAGAATCTAATCATGTATGCATAAATTGTCTTTACCTTTAGCATTATGCATTAGTTCAAACCATTTTTGAGAGAAACCCTTGTCTAATTATAAACCCTTTTCAAATGAGATCATTTTATGCTCATGACCATAACCCTTAGCCAAATGTGTTTTGCTTTAAAGTGCATAAGTTTGATTCATGGTTCGAATGTTAATGAATGTTAAAGGATGAGTTTCTTTGATTGTTAGGAATAAGAGAGTCATGATTTGAATTTCTTTGTGTGATGAGTATGGCTAAGTCCTTTGGAGTATGAGTGTAAGCTTAGCATTTTAGAACTGTTAACTAGGACATTGAGATGATCTATTCGAAAGGTACCTTTGCAAAAAGTTTAAAACCCCTTTGTTTTTTTCTGAAAACCTCTCTTCCTTACTTGTTTTTCTTGTTGCTTGAGGGCAAGCAAGAAGTAAGTTTGGAGGAGTTGATGTCATTGCATATTGCATACATTTTACATACTCATTAGGTAGTTTTTCATGCATTTGTATCATGTTTTAGGTTAGATTGCATCACTTAGGGTCCTAAAGCATTCTTGCATCAAGCATATGCATTTTTTCTGCATTTTGCATCACATTCAGGTTGTTTCTGGCTGCTTTGGAGTCATGGAGGTTCGTGGAGGTGTGGAGGCTGATGTAGCAGTTCAAAGGAGCTCGGGAGTATGCTAAGGACCAGTGATCGAGGAGCAGATCGAGCATGGCCGGTCGATCTAGGAGTTGATCGACCAGAAGATCGAGCCAACTAGGCGATCCAAGGATAATGATCGAGACGGAGATCGAGTGAAGCAATCGATCAATCGGTACGGACGTAAATGACGCCATGCAGAGCGAGAGCCAGATCGAGTACACCACTCTATCCACCCGAAGATCGATACCAAGATCGGATGCAACACTCGATTCACCGATGAAGATCGAGACCCGGATCGAGCCGAAGACACGATGTCCGGATATGATCGAGAGAACAACTCGATCCAATGGTCGATCTCTGTCCTTTCAACCGTTTTTGGCTGTTAGCGAAGGGGGGACCATTGGCTTGTTTGGGCATTTTAGGCAAGGCGGCGAGATGCTTTTTAGAGAGCTTTGAGATCCTTATCCTTTTTCCTCAAGTTTTTCTCTCTCGTTTTTCGGAAGAACACCATTGTTGAACCAGTTTTCTTTTGAAGCTTTTGTATTCGAATCCTTATCGTTTAATCTAGTTTCTTTCATGTTCATCGTCGTATTTCTTCTGCTTTGCTTGATTTACTTTATGTGTAGTGAGTAGTTTACTTTGGGTTTGGGGTTGAGAGGATTAAAGGGTAGAAAAGGTTCGATCTTGGTTTGTTTTCTAAACGTTTTTAAGGCTATCTCTTCTAAGGTGTTGAAAGCTTAATGCTTGAAGACTCTCACGCCAAGAGCTTCATGATCCGAGAGGTTCCTTACCTTGATAGGATCCAGGGGCCTCGGAAGATCACACCTTAGAGACTAGTTACCCCTTCCCAAAAGCCATGGAAGTTTGGGGGACTAGTTGAGCCATTACTCGAAATCTGTTTTCCTTGCCTTTCAACCTCTCTTTCCACCAAAAGCCATGGGTTTGGAGGAGAGGATGAAAGAGTGATCTATACCGAAAGCCACGAATAGATCTTGTTTTGTTTTCGAGGCTTAGAGATCCTCACCAAGTGAGTCGATCTAAAGTTTCAAACCCAAGTTAGATCCTTGAAACCCTTTATATGAATCTCAACCCTAAAGCCCTTTTCTTTTAGCATATTTACGTCCCATTTCATCTTTTACTTGTTATCTGATAGCATCCTGGTCATTAGATTCATTGTTCTTACGGTTTTAGACGAGATCGATCGTTTCTGCTCGATCTAGTAGTCGATCTTGTGGTCGATCCACTAGTCGAATTTTAATATTTCGAAGCTCTTCCCTTTAATTTATCTGTTTGTTTCTCGTGGTAACTGCTTCCTTTCTAGTATTTTTAAAATAGGTTTCATTCCGTTTAAGTTGCTGCATTTAGTTTTTAGAATATTTCTCATAAACTGTCTCATTTGCTTAGATTTGTCTTAGACCTTGCATTCTCTGTGGATTCTCTATCATCTAGAAGTGGATTGACACTCTCCTGCTTGCTTTACTACAACGTTGCGTGCATTAGAGTTTTGATAACCTCTCTGCTGCATTAGAGCATAAGAAAACGTTCATCATTTATATGTTCAAATATTTAGTTTTTGATGAAATATTTTGCTGATGTTGTATACCTATGTATATATAATATATGATTCATGTTGATTCGGATTTACTTTTGTTAGGATGCTACAATAATCATGTAAATCTGCTTCTTGCTTCTCTAGCAGATCTTCTATGAATTTTAGGTTATATCTCTATTCAGTTTATAAGATCTGTTTTATTTGCAGTTAACTATTTGATAGTTTTTGTTTTTAAACATGTAAGATGGTGTGAAATCTTCACATTATCACTATTTTTATCTTTGTGTGGTTTATTCATGTTTTGATTTGAATAGTTTATCTAGATATATTCCAATTTGAATTCGATTCATAACTTTATCATACTTTATTATTTAAAGGAAATTTTAGAAGATGTTACTCATTTGCTGTTCATGCTGGCTAAGTTATAAGTAACAAATATGTATAAATTAGTTGTTATATTTCAAATATAAAATTACCTGTGTAGTATTTTTTTTATTAGTTTTTAAACCAGATGCATCCAAAGTATTAGTCATTGAAAATTTAAATAATATGTTTAATTTAGAAACTTGTATAACCTATTGTAACTTTATATAGTTTTTCATAGTCAATATCAATATTTTTAAAATTATGAATTTTCTAGAACTAAATTTCAAACTCATTTTCTTCATAGATATTGTTTTTTGTTATTCTACATATCTTTCTATGGTAATTTTATATTTTATTTTAATTTATCTAATTTTGTGCATGTTTGTTATATTTAAAACATATATATTTTTAATTAATCTCTTTTGTTATTGATTTTCCAAATAGGTAGCATATATCAATTTAATCTCTTTTACATAAATATTTTTTTTTCTTTGTTAAAATTATGTTTTATATTAATTTTGATTTTAATTATAATACTATTTTCACATGCTATAATTAGGTATTCTAAATTTTATGTGGACTTCTCTTAAAAGCTTATACCATCATGTGAATACTATCTTTAAATGACATGTGTCAAAATTTGACCGATTCAAATCGCCATGTGTCGCGATCGTATGAATTACTAACTTTTATGCATCTTACTTTATATAATAAGATAGATTAAGAATTAGGATATTGTACCGTTTAATCCAACAAGTTTTTTAATGTCAGTATATTGTCAAAACAATATATATATATATATTATTACATTATTATTTTTAATATTTTATTTTATTTATTTGATTTTAAATAATCACAATATAGAGAAGATTTCACAGATAATATGTAAAAAAAGAAACCAATAATCTTTCTTAATAATTTGATAAAGACGGATTTTCTTGATAATATATTAGCGCTACCAAAATAATCTAATTTTGATTTTTAAAAAGATCAATAAAAGATGTTTTCATATTCATATTAGCAGACTGACTTTTTATACTTTTGACGATAATACAGACAATAATTCTAATAATATAGATAAATTTCTTTTTGAATTATCTTTTTGAAATTTTGTTCGAGAAGATATAGTTTTGGTGAAACCCCACCTAACAAATTTAAACTTTTGTTTTTAGAGAAATAAATCTTTATTTCTGGCAAGACAAAGACTTAAAGATATTTCAGAAGCGACAAGGTTGACAAGAGCAACTTTTACACATTTAAATAATTTTTTTTGATGAGATCTCGATCAGACCAGTAAAGCAAAGTTGAGGAATGAACGATCCAAACTAAGTAGCATCAAACAGGCAAAGAAAGTTCAACAATTCCAAAACAGAAAAGCTGAAGAAACTAAATCTAAAAATTAGATTTGGGACAAGTAGCAAAAAAATTAAAAACATTTACAGCAAGCCAAACCAAAAGATCAAAGGGAATCTGGTGCCCCCTAGCCACATTTCTTCCTAAATCCAATCAGATCTCCAAATTTAAAACCCTCAAAAATCAAATTTTGCTGAGATAGCCGTCAGAAATTAAAGAAGCAAGACCGCCGTTAGTTAGGTTAGAGAGAAAATAGTTATAGTTATATCTTTATTCATATATCATCTCATTAATGATCCCAAAACTAGAAAGTATTTCAATGACTCTCAAAATACAACAACTGATCCATTATCGACGGCATAATCCTTCACACCTGAAGAAGACTCAACTCGTTTTGTAGCTTTCTTGGCCTATCCATTGGAAACAAACAAAATAATATCCAATGAAAATGTATAATTAAACAAAATAATTAAAGAAAGGAAAAAGAATTTTCTAACAACACTTTTTACCTCTTCATCCCAATTTGTAAAGATGGTGACGAGGGAAAGACATATAACTTGAACAACGAGTGCACATATGATTCCAAACCAAAGCCCCTTTAAATGAACATTTTTGTATGTTTAACACTGTATAATTAATCAATTAATTAAAAAAAATGAAATTTGGGTTAATCTAGTTGAATTTACCCGACCACCAACGTGAAAGTGAAAACCAAGTAACAAGCCTGAAGGAACTCCAACAAGATAATATGATCCAAGATTCACGAATGCTCCTATCTTCTGCCATCCACATCCTCTAGCAACCCCTTTTAAATCCGAAATTAAAAACAAACATAATCAGTAATAACTGGACTTAACCAAGATCGTCTTGATTTGGGTGGGTTTAGCCGTTCCTTGCAAGCAAAGAAAGAAAATGAACCTGAGAGAACGCATTGAAGACTGTCTAGAAAATTGCCTAAGGCAAGAATCGGCATCATCGAGGCTACATACGTGACTACTTTCGGTTCACTACTGTAAGCCAATCCCCATATGTTCCTTATCAATATCAAAACCGAACCGATCACTATACTCTCTGCGATTGCAATGCTCATGACCACACGCACGGCAAGCTTAGCCACTTCTGGATTTCCCGCTCCTAACTCGTTTGATATTCTTGTGCTTCACGGATTTTGTAAAAGGAAGTTTTAATGGTTTACATAATGAGTTTGATTTAAGGTTAGATGATTCAGTATATATATGGTTTACCTTGCAGCGCCACTAAGACCAAATGGGATCATCCAGACTGTTCCTGATGTATTAAGGCTGCAAAGAACTGATTAAACACTCTTGAATTAGGATGATTAAATAGTTATTTGTAAGTATTGATTGGTCATTACCAGATTGAGAGGACTGAAGTTTCAAGAACCGGGTTCGGAAGAAGTCCTGATAAAAGAACCAGAAGCTCAAAGGACCACATCTCTAAGCTGTTCTCAAGCAACATTAGAAAAGAATCAAGATTCAATCAAGATAAATTGTTCCGTATCAATTTTTTAAAATCTTTTAACTTACCAGACCATAAGTGCAGAAGGTATAGCTAGTCTCATAAAAGGGATGATATCTCGGAGAGCCTCCTTTGAAAAACCGGTCCAAGTCAGAGCGCAAGAAGGCGATAACTTGACGTAACAGAACAAGAGAACGACATTAAGCCAATACGAGATGGAGTTAGCCACAGCGGCTCCTTTAAACCCTAAACCCGATTTCAAAACCAAGACCCAACAGAGGAGGATATGAAGAGAAGTTGTGATTCCAGAGCAAAAAACCACAGGAAACACATTGTTTTGGGCCTGCAAGAACCTGTTTAAGCATTGAAGTAAACCGTAAGCGAAGATGCTTGGGATCATGAATCTTGCGTATGATCCAGCGAGTGAAGCAATGGACTTGTCTTGTCCGAAGAAGACTAGGAAGTGCTCTGTGTTAGACCAAATGATGGAGAGAGGAACAGAGAGTAGAGTAAGAACAAACATTGCTCTTTGCATTTGTATCCCTAACATTCCGTACATCTTTGCTCCGTATGATTGGCCACAAAGTGTATCTAATGCACTTGCTGTTCCCATCTGTTTTCGGGAGGAAATTGGAGAAAAACAAAAAGTGAATTCAGAGTACATTTCTTGCTATACAAGCAATCAATCAGCCTAATTTGTAATTTTTTTCACTTAAATATTGGATTGCTTACATCATTATTTACTGTTTCCAAGTTTAAGTAGGAAAAGACACAACATACTTTTTTATTTTGGCGTTTTGCACTTCTGTCGGTAAAATGACAAAATGACTTTTTGGTGTTATTGAATTTCAATTTCTCAAAGTAGTGGCAGAAAAGAAGCTTACGCAACTTTGGATATTCAAACAAGGTGGCCTCATAAGTCCATCATGTGAAGAATCCTATATAGTTTTTCTTTTAAATTAATAATTAATAAAGAGAAACAAAGGTTTCATAGGAAAAAAGCAGACAAGAAAATCAATATCACCCATTACTCCTTTTATTCCTAATTTCATATAATTAGGTATTTTAAAGTAAGATACATGTATGAATGTATATTAGATAGTGAGGAAAACTGACGAGGAAGCTGAAGCCGGTGACGGTGGCGAAAGAAGTGGCGATAGAGGCGGCAGAGAGAGGAAGAGAGCCAAGATGGCCGACGAACATAACGGAGATGACTTGTAGACAAAACTGAAGAAGACTCACGCCGATTAGTGGACCCGAAAGCCATAGCTGTTTCTTAACTTCTTCCTTAACACTAGTTTTATTACCTCTCTCTCCGACCACAAGAGGCCATGTCAATACATCCTCTCCTCTTTCTCTCTCCTCCCTCATCTTTTTTTATGACAGAGAAACTTAACGATCTCCCTGTCTTTAAGGGCTTTGTGTTTGGTTCGGCCTCTTCTTGCTTTCTCTCTCTACTGATGTGTGGTGTGTGTGGGATTTATTTATTAATACGGTCAACTATATATTGGAGTTTTTCCTTTCGATCGAGGTTCGGATCCAAAACACTGTCACAGTTATTATTTAACAACTAAAATTATATATAATTTCAATAAGTTTCGTTTAATGTACAAAAATAGAAATTCCTTTTATTTAAGTCAGTTTGTTAATGTTATACTAAAATCAGTTCTTTTTTTTCGTTTGGTGTCGGCTAATGACTAAATTAATACGTGGGAAACAAATTACTAAATCCATAAACCTTGTTTTCGAAGGTAAAAAGAGTGGGGAACATAGTGTAAACTTGTTTATTTTATTAATTATGCAAATAAAATAAAATACAAGTCTTTTGTTTCTTAAAAACTAGGAGAAGATCATGCTGCCATTATTTCTATTATGCATTTTGTTTCCCATTAGTGTCTAGTATAAAAGATGTATTTAATATAGCCACAGAAAACTGGTTCGCTGCAACTACAACATCTGTTGTGAATTCTCCAATAATCATAAAATATTAGGGTAGTGGGTAGGTGAGAATCTTTACCAAGCGGTAAAGAGAGAAAACAAAAAGTTTTATTTAGATAGAAGTTGAGTCAATGCTTTTGTTTTTATAACTGAAGAGTGATCCAACATCCTACTAATCTCTTCAGAGTGAATGTAACCATCGAGTAGTTTACTCACCGAATTTTTTAATAGGTCATGGCACCATTTTATTTTCCCAAGTGAGCTGAGACAATGTTGAAACTCGCTCTAGACAGAGTTTTAGCTCCTTTACCATTGTCTCTTTCTGGTCAAGATTGAAGGTTGATACCAAAGTGATTGTCACTTCTTTTAAACACTTGAAGTTTGCAAGAATGTACCTCATGAGCTGTTTCTCTTCTTCACTACCACTATAGTCATTCCAACCAAAGAACTCTAGATTGGAAGACAAGCATCTGGGAACAAGACTAGGTTGGATCCATGACAATGGGACATTCCCGGGCTGATATCCTTTTTCCTGGATCCAAGTAGATCAAATTTAAGCGTTGGATTCAAAAAATCAAGTTTTATTGCAACAACGATATTTGCGTTGTTACTTACAGAATTGATACGTAGAATTTGTAGTTTAGGAGACTTGTTGAGAATTAGTGGAATTAGATCCAACCAGAAATCCCCAAATGGATGTAGTATAAACCGTTGAAGTCGAGAGAAGGTGTTGCCACTAAAATCCAGAGCCTACGCGGCAAGATAAAGCAATGTGATGACACTAACAACCATGGAAAGAAAGAGTTAGAGAATTGAAATCGATACCTTTGGATCTTTCGAAATTAAAGAGAGAGTAGTGACCAAGATACTAGATTTGAGAAACTTGTCATGAGCACCACAAAGAACCGATACGTGGCTTATCATTGCGAAAAAGGTTGGCCATCGAGAAAGGGTCTAACTGCCAATCCCAAAAGCGGAGGCACACATCTGATCGAGCAAGAACTGAGCAACCTGATAAAAGCCTGACAAGTGAGTCTTCGTCTTTATAGACCACAAATAAAAGCCGCAATATTTTGACAGACGGGAGGCACACCGAGGAAGGAACATCCATGAGAATCTTGTTGGAAAGAGTCAACTTAACAAGCGTTTTGCTGGTGTAGAGGCTCTTAGGTAAGCTAATAGGCTCCGCGGTCCAAAGAAGCTCCAAGTTTAGCTTGCGCATCAAGCGATCCACCGCATTTGCAACCCATTTTCTAACATCTCCATTATTAGTAAAATTTTGACCGAGTTGGATACATAGAGTTTCTAACAAAGGTGCCTTGTGAAGTTCTAATGACTTTTCAAGAAACTTCCAAACCTTTTCGCATTCATCAGCATAGGTGTATTTGTATTCGAGTTTAGGCACCATCGTCCAGAGAAAACGCCATCGTTTTGACAAAACCATGGTGGACACAACATCTTCGGTCGAGACAAGCAACAAAATCTGGATGAGCAAATCGTTGGGCAACGCACTTATCCTGTCTCTAGAATCAACAACCTTTTCGATTCTTTGACAACGTTCGGCGTCCGCCGTCGATGACATAGAGCTAAGAGTTCTTGTAGACGAGGATCGAGGAGTAGTAGGACGAACCCTTAAAACTTTCGATGATTCAGAACTTTCGTCAATGTGAAAGGAATAACTCTTGTCTCACGAAAAGTAAACCCTAATTTAGCTTGACCGTGAAGTCTAATAGACGCTAACCAAGAAGCAATTCTTTTAAACCTGAACCTTCGATCACCAGATCTCTAGATCAATCCTGGTTGACGTTCCATAAATTAATTTACTTTTGATATTAATCGTAATAATCGGATTTTGACATATATAAAAAAATAACTTATCAACTAAATCGTGATAGGTAGATGAAATAAATCTTATTAGCAAAAGAAAATATATTGGAAAAAAGTCATTTAAAGCACAAACTTTCAAAATTTGACCATTTAAAGCCTAGATTTTCATGGGAGTAAATTAAAGAACGGATTTTTAGTTGATTTTCATATTAAATTCTAAATTTTTGTTGACTGGGCCGTTTTAAGCACTCCGTTAAATCGACTAACAGCTCAATTAGACAGTGTTAATTGTTTGTTTACTTCGACGTTAATTCAAAACGACGACGTGGTAAGAAACAGAAAACCCCCAAATCGAAAATCGAATCCCTAATTTCATTCAATCCAGAAATTCTCTTCTCTTCTCTCCCGATTCTGGACTTATCTTCTCTTTCTAGATCTTCAAATCGCTTTCCTTCTCTCTTTCCCTAACGGATTTGTTCTCTTTTTCTCTTCCGATTTCGATTCCAATGGATCCCTGTTCTGACCGTAGCTTTTCTTTGAAATGTGTTTGTGGATTGGATGCAATCATTTTAACATCAAAGACACAGGAGAATCCATGACGACCTTTCTTCCGTTGCATTAGCAAGAGAGATGTAAAAAATCGGACAAACGTAAGAGAGGTAAGGTTTTGCTGCTGTTTTTGTTGTTTATATTTTTAGCTAGTAGATAGACTGAAACCAAGAGAAATAATGGTCATTTATTTGTTTTTGCAAAATGATCATTTGTTTAAGTGGGTAGAGGAGGCTGTGTTTGAAGATGTTGAAGATGGTAAACTAAAGCTAGGAAGCATTGAAACTGAAATATGCAAAGTGAAATATGAGGTTCAAGAGTTAAAGGCGTTAATTGGAGAATTAACTAAGGAGATAGTGTGGAGCAAAATGGAAAAAAAAAGTGCAAGAAGATGAACACATTGTGTTGTGTGTGGGTTTGCTTCATGACCATTGTCATTGTTATCTTGTTGGTGGTTGGTAAAGCAAAGGAAACAAAATTTATTGTTTGTTATTAGTGTGAGGAGAGTGTTTGTTACACATGGATTATGTACTAATTACATTCTGATTTGTGCCTTTTGGATCTAGTTTATGTATGATTTGAATTTATGGTTTTTAAGGCAAGTTTATATAAATGGCTGTTGTTTGTGATTTTTAGATTTTGACTATTGTTTCTTGTACAATCAATGGTTGGTATGTGAATGTATTTAGTGATGGTATGATAGTAAAAATCCGAGAGCAAGAGACAAATAAGAAAAAGAACAAAGATCATGTTTGGTCATGAAATCATGTTACATATATGATCATGTTCACAAAGACAATTTTGATACAAAGTACAAAAAAAAGAAAACAACAAAGTGGTTCCTTAATCAAAAGCCATGATCCCATAATTGTAATCAAAATACCAACAACAAAAAATGAATAGACCATCAATGAAAGCTTAAATGATCCCATTCAAAAATGCCGAAATAGGTTTGTTTGATCATTGAAACCATGATTGCCAACCTTGAGATCCTTGTCGCTGTGATCTATCACCTTCAGATCCTTGTGCTTGTGATCCACTTTGTGCTTGTGATTGTCGTCGTGATTGTGATCCATGGGCTTCTCCTTGTCAAACTTCTTGTGCAACTTGAGCTTCTGAAACTTGTGGCTGTAGAATTGATTGTGCTTGTGTTTCTCCTTCCTGTCAGTAATGCATAAAATGATAACAATGACACTAGACACCAGACAACAATAACAAGAGATGATTAACATGTATGCCATATAGTAAAAATCCAGTCCCTTTAATTTATCATGTTCAAAAGAAAACCACTTACACGAAAATTCAAGAAGTGAAGCTAAAATCTCTAACTACATACTTCCACATAAACGAGAATGCATAAAAGATAAACGATAATGTATAAATGCTGAATGAATATAAGAGTGAAACCTGATTTTTTCTTGGTCGACCCTTTGTTTTTTTTTGTTGGAGGCGCCACCATCGGATTTTGACAAGTTTGCTTGTTGTGTCCTTCTTGCAAACAGTTTGAACATGTCATTATCCTACGAACACGTGATAACTTATCGTTACTTGCAGAAGCAGTCTCGTTTATTCCTTTCTTTCTTGCATAGTTGCTTGGTCTACCATGGTTTTCCTTTCTCCATGGTGGTGGCAAAACAGGTAATATGTTTAATCTTGGCCACAGTTTCATGCCTTGTACAGGTGCAATACTATCTATATATGTTTCCCGCCATGTTTTTGTTGTGTAGAATTCATTGACATAGTCTTCAACCTTCTTTTTCTTTGCTATAATCACATGTGCAGCATGAACACATGGTATACCAATCATCTGCCATTTTCTGCAACCACAAGTCAGTGTGTTCATATCCACACGATAGCCAACACCATTCAACTCAACCTCATGTAAATCATTCCTTGCCATATGTCTGATGCAATGCTGCGCCCCTGCTATCATTTTTTCAATCTCAGTATGAGCTCTCTTGGTGAATTCCGTCTTCAATCTATTCGCAATAATAGATCTCTGCTCATTTCGAACCATACATTTTTGCCTAACCTCTTCTAATAAGTCTAATAAAGGTTTTCTCCTTGCTTGGCGAATGGTTCTATTGAAAGACTCGCTCAAGTTATTCAAAATATCATTACAAAACAAACCAATCCTAAAGAAAGCTCTAGACCACGTTTTAGGATTAGTCTTCTGAAGAGATGCAAATGCTTGAGAATTGTACCTTTGTAATGCATCCATATGATCTCTGAATTCTGATGTGGTGTAGCTGCATGCTATTTTCCAGAATAGCGTTTGTAACACAATATTGTGATTGTCTCTCCTCAAATTCTCCATAATGTGTCTAGCACACTGCCTTTGTTCGGCTTGTGGAAGAACTGTCCTCACTACATTCACAATGCTCTGCAATGTCATACAAAACACATGAGATGAGTAAAAAAATTTATAAAAATAATTAGAAAGTTTATAAAAAGCATCAGAACAAGATCTGAACCCTATGCTTATCTGATATGATTGAAACATTTTTTCCTTTACCAAGATCCAAACTTCCACATAGATGTCGAACAAACCACTCCCACTTTGGATCATTCTCTACTTCAAGAACTGCCCAAGCAATTGGGACTATCCTATTATCTCCATCTCTTCCAACTGCAGCTAATAAATGGCCTTGATATCCCATTTCAGAAATGCACCATCTATTCCTATGATTGGTCTACAAGTTCTTATCCACGACTCCCTTTGTGAATCAAAACAAATATAACATTTAAATAACCTTTGTTTGCTCCTTATAGTAGGCACTGGAATCGTCTCTATCGCAAACTCGATGAGATGATTTGTCTGGAAAATCTCTGCCTGATAATCCCAAACCCGTGCGAAATGAGCTTCATGGCTGGCTTTATTTTCCTTCGTAAGTTTTGTCTTCGCCTTCCCACATTGATCATCACTTACAACCAAGTTGTATTCTCTCACAATCTCAGCCGCCATCTCCTATTTTGTAATCTTTGGATTGACTCTCAATCTTTCTGAAAACAGCCATGCGATTGTAGACCTCTTCAACATCTTAGAGTAACCCGATCGAAGGCATATATGCTTGTTTATGTAAACTTTAATCTGCATCTTATGCCGCCTCCTCTCATATGAACAATAAACTCTCCACGGGCAAGAGACCTTAGTGTCAGCACACTTTGCACCAATCTTCATAGCTTGTGACCTGTATAACTTGACATCATATCGAGTTTTCAGAGAATACTTGAGAACAGAAAGCTTGAAATCTTCTGGCGAATTATAGGTTTTCCCCAATGCTAGCAGCTCATCAGGATCTTCAACCTCTCTTCGCCTTTCCTCTTGTCGTCTTCCTCCTTAGAATCAGATGACAAAGGATCGAGAATCCTCTCATCATCCCAAATATTGTCTCCACTATTTGCGTCACTCCCAACTTCTATATCTCTCGCTGCTTCTCCAAAATGCTCTACTAAGTCTTGGCATCCTTCTTCTATATCTCTCGATGATTTCCTCACGCTCATCGAAATCATCATCACGAACATCTGCGCCGTTAAAACCGTTGTCTCTGTCTCTAGCATCAGCTTTAACTTCAGCTTCAACCTCAACTTCAGGTTCAACCTCAACTTCAGGTTCAGCTTCTTTAGATTTAGATTTCGAACCCCTCTTTCGTTTTGATTTGGGCATGAATTCTTAGAAGGAGCAATCAAAAGGAGCAAATAAGTTTGATTTGGAAGAGAAGAAAAGAATGAATCAGGAGAAAGAAATGAGAATTAGGGATTTAGATTTTCGATTTGGGGTTTTTCAGTTGGTTTTCTGTTTTTTCGACGACGTCGTTTTGAATTAATGTTGGAGTAAACTATCAATTAACACTGTCTAACTGAGATGTTAGTCGATTTAACAGAATGCTTAAAATGGCCCAATCAACAAAAGTTTAGGATTTAATATGAAAGTCAACTAAAAGTCTGTTGTTTGATTTACTCCCATGAATATCTATGTTTTAAGTGGTCGAATTTTGAAAGTTTGTGATTTAAATGACTTTTTCCCAAAATATATTATGTTTTTTGTTTAATGAGTAAAAGTGAAGAAGGGAAACTAATAAAAATTTGAGATTTTAAAATTTATATTTCTAAAGAAAAACTCTTTTAAAAAACCCAAACAAATTAGAATATAAAATTTGTATTTCTAAAAATTTAATATATTATATTATATTTTGAGTTTTCTTTGTTTATACCATTATGCTGACACCAAAAAATTACAATATTGATATCAAACTCAAAAATATATTGAAAGTTTCTAGCTTTGTAAACATTATAGAAAATTATTCCCATATTTTAGTGTGTGCACCAATGAAAACATATGGTTTTGGTATACATGACATTCACCAAGAGACACATTAAGATTTTCCTCTATGCTTTTGTGTTATTCCATCTTAAAACTGGCAAATCATTGTTTTAGGTAAATCCGAGTAGGCAATACTTGTCTGGTAATCTCTTTGAAGAGCCCTCCAAAAACATTTTAAACTTTTTGCCCTTACATCTCATTCTTACTCGTGTCCATCCGTGAGAACAATTTCATGTTTTAATTCAGGAGCATAACCATCCTTACCTTTCCCTTTTTGAAGTCTGCTCTAATGGTGATTTCCCTGAGAATTTTCCTAAGTTTCATCAGCATCTTGAATTTCCACATACCAAAGTCTCTGTTTCCATCAGATTTTTTCATCAGCATCACATTCATTACTTTATTATTCATCGAAGGAATAATAAGGTACTGAATGTGTTAGAATTGTATGGTATAGGATACAAATACGTTCTGTAAGAAGTGTTGCATGAGTTATCCGCTGATTTAAGTTAAAAGTGTGTGCTAATTAACAATCCTGAAGCTTCTCGTGTGTGGAAGCCTCCTTCGTCTAGTGATTAACTAAGCAGTTGATTAATACTTTTACACCAGAAAATTTGGGTTTCAATTCCCATCAGATACGATTTCTACAGGTTATTAATTAGAGGCAAAATGGTGCAAGTAAAGCTATTTCTGGTGGACATGCATATCTATTGTGAATTTTTGTGGAATAATAAATTGTTTGTTAATAATTATTTTTGTAATTGCCTAATATTTTAGATGACAAAAAAAAAGCTTCTCATGCAAATCTTCTCAAACTATCAAGCCTGATGAAGCTTGAATTTGGTCGATAAATCATACTTCAAACATTGTCACCAACTACCCTTTACTCACATTGAGTCTATGCTTCCTAATTGTTTGACTGAAAAGTTTTTAACTTCATGAGTCTTTCTAAGGCTCTAATTGGTGATCAAAAGAATGAGGAGGAATAATGAATTCCTCTTCATTCCTTAATTTTTTTACCATTCACTAGTAATATTTGTTCTATGTTATTCTCTCTCATTCCTTATTATTTAAGGAATTATAGAACAAAAGTATTCTTTATAAAATGTGGAGAGGAACAAAAAATATTCTTTATTTCTTTATATGTATTTTATTGGTATTGATTCCTTTTTTTTTGTTCCTTTGATTCTTTTCCTTCTCATTCCTATTCTTTTTTTATGTGTCACCAGTTAGAGTCTAACTGTTTCAATAATATTTCTTATGTACTCAATGTCTTTTTTTTTTGCAGTATTTTTGTGTCCCATACCATACAAACACATTCATTACTTTATTATTCCTTTGACCGAGAAGCATAAACTTTTATTGTTACTTATCCATCCACTCATTCAGCTATATCAAACTTTATGGTTAAACATAATTTTTGCACGTTAAATATTTTTCAATTTTGAATTATTTTAAATCGTACCTCCTTTATTAAAATTAGTCAATAAATATTTATTTCAAAAAGAACATATTTTATAGTAATAACTCTTATACATGCAGCGTGTGACAAAGAAGTATATTGTATTTATTAAAAGAACACATCTTGACTTTTGATTACATGTCCAATTTAATTATTGATTTCTCATTCAAATTAACTTTGATTTTGACAAAGAATTATATTGTATTTTAGCACAATCTATAAAAAATCCAAAAAATTCATAATTATCAAAAAAAAAAAGTTCCAACAGATATGTAAGAGGAGATTCTGTACCAAAGAGAAAATATTTTATTTTTTTCATTTAGATAGAAGCTGAGACAATGTTGAAACTCGCTCTAGAAATAGATTTTAGCTCCTTTACCAATGTCTCTTTCTGGTCAAGATTGAAGGTTGATACCAAAGTGATTGTCACTTTCTTTAAACACTTGGAGTTTGCAAGAATGTACCTCATGAGCTCTTTTTCTTCTGCACTTCCACTATATTTATACCAAACAAAGAACTCTAGACTGGACGACAAGCATCTGGGAGCAAGACTAGGTTGGTTCCATGACAATGGGAGATTCCCGGGCTGATATCCTTTTTCCTGGATCCAAGTAGATCAAATTTAAGAGTTGGATTCAAATAATCAAGTTTTATTGCAACAACGATAATTGCGTTGTTACTTACAGAACTGATACGTAGATCTTGTAGTTTAGGAGACTTGTTGAGAATTAGTGGAATTAGATCCAACCAGAAATGCCCAAACGGATATAGTATAAACCGTTTAAGTCGAGAAAAGGTATTGCCACTAAAATCTAGAGCCTGAAATGACTAAATTAAGAAAAAAAAGATAAAGCAATGTGATGACACTAACAGCCACGAAAAGAAAGAGTTTATTGATACCTTGGGATCGTTCAAAGGTAAACAGAGATTAGTGACTAAGGAAATAGATTTGAGAAACTTGTCATGAGGACGACAAATGACAGAGATACGTGGCGTATCATAACCAGCCTGATCATAACGAACCACATTCCCCATCAGGAGAAGGTCTCTCTTCGTATCCGTGATGCCGAGCCTTACTCTAGATCGAGCAAGAACTGAGCAACTTAGTAAAAGTCTGACAAGTGAGTCTTCGTCTTTGTAGACCACAAAGAAAAGCCGCAATATTTTGATAGACGGAAGGCAAGCCGAGGAAGGAACATCCACAAGAATCTTGTTGGAAAGAGTCAATTCCACAAGTGTTTTGCTGGTGTAAAGGCTCTTAGGTAAGCTGATAGGCTCTGCGGTCCAAAAAAGTTCCAAGTGTAGCTTGTGCACCAAGCGATCCACCGCATTTGCAACCCATTTTCTAAAATCTCCATTATTAGTAAAATTTTGACCGATTTGGATACACAAAGTTTCTAATACAGGTGCCATGTGTAATTCCAATGACTTTTCTAGAAACTTCCAACTGCTTTCGCATCGATCATCATCGGTGTATTTGTAGTACCGTCGTCCATAGAAAACGCCATCGTTTTGACAAGAACATGGTGGCCACAGCATCTTCGGTCGAGACAAGCAACAAAATCTGTATGAGCAAATCATTAGGCAACGCACTTATCCTGTCTCTACAGTCATCAACCTTTTTGATTCTTTGACAATGTTCGGCTTCTGGCGATGACATGGAGCTAAGAGTTCGTGATTAAAGATTGTAGGACGAGGAGGATCAGGACGAACCCTAAAAACTTCCGATGATTTAGAATCCTAAGCCCTTTGTTATTTTCTCGCTGATGTGAGACGAATAACTGTGTTTCATGAAAAGTAAACCCTAGTTTAGTTTAATGTTACCAATGAGCTATTTAAAAAAAAAAAAAAAAAAAACCGGCCTACCTTCCAAGTCACCAGGTCTCCGAATCAAACCGGATTACAATTGACTCCTGAAAACTTGGAAACAATAGAATTCGAAAATGACATATGTGTTCCTTGTAATGTGAAAACCGACTAAACATCTACAGCTAATTTAACGATGAAACAAAAGAAGTAAAGAATTAGAGTACTACAAAAATAAATATTGGTACTAAATAACCAAAATATATTTTTATTTATGTTTTTCTACCTCTCTTTCAATATCTCTTTCTTTCTTTCTCTCTTTTGGTATCATCACTCTTTCACTGTTGTTGGGTTATATATAATTTTATATAACATCTCATGTTTATCTCAGCTATTTTTTTTGTCATTGTGTTATACAACATATCATATGTATTTATTTAGCAGCTCGTTATAATTTTTCTTAAAATGCAACAGTGTTGAAGTAACAAACTCCACTAAAACAGAAAATATAAAAGAGAGACCAATCGACTCCCGCGGAAAACAGAGTCAAGAAAGCAAAAAAATGATGAACGAAAATCATAACAACCCAATTTTGATTTGTTTCAGCAGAAGAACATTGAAGTAGCAACTTTCTTCTTCAGCTTCGGCATGGGAGGCACAGGGACTGCTCCAGATGTCGTGATCCCGCCATGGCTCGATGAAGTCTCGGAGTTGTCCTCAAACTTCATCACAGTTGCCATCTGTGCAGCCGCCAAATGAGCATAACTTATCGGGGCAACTGCAAATGCAAGGGAATTTAGAGATGTTACGTTATGCATTGCTCAAATACGAATCAAATACTAATCGAGTTGTATCCATTTTTCATCATAAACAAAAGCAAACTCTAATCTCACAGCACATCAGTTTGTTGTCCAATCATTTAAAAAAATAAAAAATAATCATAGTGATAGTGATCACACAAAAGTAATTTACCTACAGAGATGGCAGTTGTGCTCCGCTGGTAGCTACAAGTATCAAAAACCAAACAATTAATTAATATAATTACCCAAGAAATAGTTTTTTTCAAAACAACTTAAAAGTGATATGATGCTTACACATATGATAAGGAATGAACAAGTTCTTGGAGGTCGTCTGTCGAAAATCCAATCTGGTCGAAGAGCACATGGTAATGCGTTGGCCTTGTAGTTCCCTAAAACATAGAAAAAGTGTCAAGTTTCCATTAAGATTCACAACGGATTCAAGCATCAAGACTTTTGTACTTACAAGCATTCCAGCATGAGCACAAAGATAGAAATCGTTGTTGCGTGGGTCGCAGATCTTGCTGTCAATTATTGTTCCTGGATGAAATAAATGAAAACAAGTTATTTCAATAATATTAGAAAAAAAAAGAGTTATTTCAACAATAACGGTTACAAAAAATGAATTTTAATATTTCACCTGCGGGAACATTATCAGGACTATTGGTCTGGAAGAACCTGGTGTGGTGATTTTTCTGAGCAATGATCACTGTAAACTTTGGATCCCACTTCTCATCAAGAAACTTGCAAGCCTAATAATATATCCAAAAATACAAATTTAAACCCTATATAAGTGTCCAACATAGGGTAAATATATTAAGAGATCAAAAGGTTCCAGAACCAAAAAAAAATATACTTACTTGCATCATCTGATCCAGCTCAATGTTAAGAACTTGGTTAAACTGAGATTCACTCACACCATCCCTACATGTATGTATTATCATTCTAGTTGAGTTAGCAAAAGTTTGTATTAAATTATTTTCACAAGATCTCTAGATTATATATATGCATACCTGAAAATGATAATGTGATCGGGTTTCCTACCAGAACAGGTTTGAAAATCAAACAAGAGCTCCCTGTAAAACAGCATTTTGAGTCTTTTAATCACAGTCTATCTAAAGCAAAAAAAAAAAATTCACTTTGAAAATATTAGGGTATTACCTCATAATACCATCGTCATCTTTATCTGAGACGCGGTTAAAGAGATTATCGATCATTTCGACTTTAGGTGACTGTGTACGCACAAAAGCCCTGTATTTTGAGATTAAAGGCCATTCTCTTGAGCTCACAACCTATGCATTCCAGATATTAAACAAAAATCAATCAAGCTTACATGAAAATACAAAACAAGAAATTAAAAGTTACAAAAATGGGAAAAAAAAATCAATGTTACCGCGGAAACTGACGGTTCATCAGAGTTTGGAGAACCATGAGATACATCCATCCCAATGATGATGGTAGGAACTCTCATTACCGAAGGTATTCCTCGTGACCTCTCAATAGCTAGCACTGAATTCAAACCACCAAGCTATATACAGAAAAAATGGCAGAGACTAATATAATTAATTATACTCCATTAGAAACTACAAAGTGTAAAAGGCTGTGATTGAGTCATAGAGTGATCATCACCACCTTGGCATTTATCTTGAGGAGAACATTTGTGAGATACTGATCATTTACGTTGCGCTGAGGAGCAATACACTGATTCACGATTCCAACTTCAACAAGAGTTTTCTTTTTCCAAGGACCTAAGGGAGTTTTAATCAGAGACAGTCACATGAGGAAATACTAATATACTATTAATGTTTCAAGTAATGTCAAGTGCTTAGTGTTACCATAAACGTCAGAGTTTTTCCTTTCTGAGAGTATGCAAAGAATGAAGTTTGGATCCTTTGATAGTATTGGTGTCATCTGTTCAAACATCTTCTCCACTCTTACAGAATCAGGTGCATCCTTGAACTGAAGATCCTCTTCAATGAGGTCATGAAATGGATAATCTATGTTCTGAGATAAACAAGAGTTTTGTTATTAGTGTTCTTTATCGCAAGCCAAAAATGATTCTGAAGAAAAGAAAAAGCTTACAACTCCTTTCATCCTTCCTCATCTGATCAAACCTTCAACAATCTTATACGGGTTACACCGAGCAGAGAAGTTCACAACAGCCCATTTATGAACTGTTGCTGGCTCAGCAAGTTTCTGCACAAGGAAGAAATTTTGAATTAATATTACAAGTTTTCAAGAATCTACAAAACAGCTAATCTAAGAAGCAACAAGACCTTTCTATTGAAATTCCAACGCCCATTTCTAGGCAGAAGGTCCTCTCCATTGCCCCCTTTCAGCTGTTTGGGATTAAAAAATCAGACATAATTAATAATTATAATAATAACATCAAATCTTCCATAACCAAAAATGAAAGAGCATGCTAAGAGGAATCACTTTTGGTGTTGGTAGCAGGCGGCCTTCCACTTGAGTGAAGTCAGAGGCAATTGTAACACCACATTCTTGCAACATTGGGTTATCATTATAATTACATTTCTTCAGAGCCTACAAGATGACACTTTGATAGTAAGCAAAAAATAAAAATAAAGATATAGAATAGAGTAAATATGAAAAACTAAAGGTCGTCTTACTATGGTTAACACATTCATCTTTTCTTGTGGCTTCTGTATTGATTCTCTGACTAGCTTAGTCTTCTGAAAACTGTTAAGAGCTTTTGTATAGCGTTGTAGAGAAACAAGATGACAGTGCTGCAAATTTTATAAACCAAACAACTATATTTATCATAAGCCATTAAATATTAAAATGTGAGAAAATAAATAAATAAATAAATGTTACCTCCATGGGAATGTAAGTAGGACGATTCGGCTTACCAACATTGATGCAACGTAAGTCACCTGAATCATGCAATGTGATATCATGCTTTTTCTTGTAGTAATCAAACACTGTAATCTCAACCTCTACTTCCTCGTTTCCTTTCTTTTGCTTCCAAATAAACCTAAATGTATATATAAAAAAAAAGGAGGTAACTGATAACCAAAAAAAAATGCAATTTAAAACATGCATATGATCAAAGAAAATATATCAATTCACAGCATACGTTTGATCTTTGCAGCTTAATCCACTTAATCCGGTTATCTTGTATTCTTGATTTGAGGTGATGACTTTAACTCTAAGATTCTTGAGAGTACGTTCAGCCTATAAATGAGAGATAAAAAAAATCAGATAATTAAGTACTTCACCTCAAAGATATATTAAAACACCATTGAAACTCTTCCCAGTACCTTTTTCCAATTAATAGAGAGTTGATCTTTGACGTCTTGTTGTGCAATAAGGAAATCAACAACAGGACCAGGTTTTACTATCAACGTACTCGAGACATCTGCTTAAAAAAAGAAACCAAAATGTTACAAAGAATAATTTGGATTTCACATTTAAAAAAATCATATTATGCAAAAGAGATTAACCAATATTGAGAGATAAGCCTCCCTGAGTAGTTCCGAAGCTTGAATGGAATCCTCTGCATAGATGAAAACCTCCATAGTCTTCCGTAAAGTACTTTGCGTCATTGTGGAAGAAGGATTGACGAACAAGGAGGCAACCTCTGTGCAAAACGAATATTGGAAAACATGGACATAAGAGAAAAATCATAAAAATATCAAGAACATTAATTTTACTTACTGGCTAGCTGCGTTCTGGCGCAAGATAACATCCAGAACTCTTATAGCATCTTGGAGATGATTTGTTTCCTTTCCTTGAAGAGCAGCTTCAATAGCTTGGACTGAGATTTTTGTAGCAAAGGTGATTGCAACGTTGAATGTCTTGGAATGGTTAGGACGCCTTAATCTTTTCACCCCCTCGTCATTGGGCTTAGAAAACATTTCTTCAAGAGCAACAGAGAAGCTTAGTACTTTGCCGGGAAGAGGACCGACAGTGTACAGAGTCTTGTCGCCATCATACGCAAAGTACTTGGAACCCAAGTTATCACTTTGACAGTTCTTCTGAACTTTTTCAAGAATCTTTCTGCCAATTCTCTTGGCTTCAACTGGTTTCCCGTCTTGGTATGTGATAGCAACCTGGATCCAAAGATCAAAGAGACAAATCGATCCCACTGTAGCAAGAACTTCAAAGCAGTGATGGGAATAAGACATTAGAGAAAACAAGAGAAGCTTTACGCTGTATTGGAAGAAATCTTGACTTTCTACTTTGCTGAAGTTGACTCCAAAGTGGTTGGTAAGCAGATGAATCTTCGGACCTTTGGAACCGTTGCCAGACCGAGCCATTGGAACAAGAACACTCTTGCTCGAATCCATTTCTGGAGTAGCAAAACACCGAAAGGTCACAATTTATAACAATCTTGAGGAAGAAAATCAGTTTGTTTTTCACATTTACAACCAAATTTATCATGGATTTTCAGGACTAAAACTGAAGATGCTTAAGTCTATTGTTATGTTACGAGATACGTACGAAAATTAAAACACAGTTAAGCATCAACTTTTCCTCAACCCTAAAAAAAAAACTCAAGTCCATAGAGCGTAACAACAAGAAGATATCACAGATCAATGACTTGAGATCTTTTTATTCATGAGAAGAGAGCCCAAGATGCATTACTATTGCAAGGAAAACAGATTTCTCTTATCATAATTCAACAAATTAAACATATTCTGATACCAGTCATTAAAAGAAAAACAGAACAAGCAAGAGTATGGAGATAACCGTGAAGATTGTGTTAGATAGAAAACAATTGTTAAGATCATGAAGAAACAAATTTTACCGGAGAAAAAGAAGCAAGTTCTGTAAGAGGAGACGAAGAGGCCCAGAAGATGACAGTGCCGTTTGCAGTGACTGCGACGCCAACAATTGATCAGCCTTTTTATGCGTTTTGTTAACGGAGATGAAGAGTTTTGTACGTTAATTTCGAGAAACTAGACATTGATTTCTCGGTAACGTGCATATCACTACTTCTTTTTTTTGGTTTAAATGTTAAAGAGAGTTATATCACTCTTTAGTAAGGGAGACGAATGAGATTCGTACCTTCTTCATTTTCTTCTCTTTCACCAACACTCAAAAGTGAATTAACATAAATTAATAATTTTATTTAAAAGAATTATTGAGAAAATATTTTTACAATTTAAAAGAAGCTGAGACAATGTTGAAACTCGCTCTAGAATTAGATTTTAGCTCCTTTACCATCATCTCTTTCTCGTCAAGATTGAAGGTTGATACCAAAGTGATTGTTACTTTCTTTAGACACTTGGAGTTTGCAAGTATGTATCTCATGAGTTCTTTCTCTTCTTCACTCCCGCTATATTTATTCCACTCAAAGAACTCTAGACTGGTAGACAAGCATCTGGGAACAAGACTAGTTTGGTTCCATGACAATGGGAGATTACCGGGCTGATATTTTTGTACCTAGATCCAACAAATCAAATCTAAGAGTTGGATTCAAAGAATCTGTGTTATGCAACAAAGATATTTGCGCTGTTACTTACAGAATTGATACGTAGAATTTGTAGTTTAGGAGACTTGTTGAGAATTAGTGGAATTAGATCCAACCAGAAATGCCCAAACGGATAGAGTATGAACCGTTGAAGCCGAGAGAAGGTATTGCCACTAAATCCAGAGCCTAAAAGGACTAAATTAACAGACAATATAAAGCAATGTAATGACACTAACAACGCAACGGAAAGAAAGAGTTCAAGAATGAAAAATCGATACCTTCGGATCTTTCAAAACTAAATAGAGAGTAGTGACCAAAGAAATAGTTTTGAGAAACTTGTCATGAGCATGACAAAAAAAACGAAACACGTGGCTCTTCACAGCGAACAATATTCCTCATCGGGAGAGTGTCTCTCTACAGAACAGTGATGCCGAACCCTACTCTCGATCGAGCAAGAACTGAGCAACTTAGTAAAAGCCTAACAAGTGAATCTTCGTCTTTGTAGAAGACAAAGAAAAGCCACAATATTTTGAGAGACGGAAGGCACATTGAAGAAGAACATCCACAAGAATATTGCTGGAAAGAGTCAACTTAACAAGTGTTTTGCTGGTGTAAAGGCTCTTAGGTAAACTAATAGGCTCTGCGGTCGAAAGAAGCTCCAAGACTAGCGTGCGCACCAAGCGAGCCACCGCATCTGCAACTCATTTTCTAAAATCTCCATTATAAGGAAATAATTTAAAGAGTTGGATACAAAAAGTTTCTAAGAAAGGTGCCTTGTGAAGTTCTAATGACTTTTCAAGAAACTTCCAAACGCTTTCGCATTCATCATCATCGGTGTATTTGTACTCTAGTTTAGGCACTACCGTCCAGTAAAAACGCCATCGTTTTGATAAGACCATGGTGGCGACTGCATCTTTGGTCGAGACAAGCAACAAAATCTGGATGAGCAAATCGTTGGGCAACGCACTGATCCTGTCTCTAGAATCAACAACCTTTTTGATTCGTTCGCCGTCAAGCGATGACATAGAGCTAAAAGTTCGTGGTTAAAGACTAGAACAGATGCAGACGAGTAGCAGGACGAATCATACAAACTTTAGAACCCTAATTCCCTTTGTCATTTTCTCGCTGATGTGAGACAACGAACTCTGTCTCACGAAAAACCCGACCCCTAACAATGAACCGGACTAAGTCACCAGGTCTCCGAATCAATCCTCAAGAGCGGATCAATAAATTAATTAACTTTTTAATATATAATCTCATTATATAAAGTTTAAAGTCAATAATTAAGCGAGATTCAGATTTTGACAACTATATCTCAATTTAAATAAAAAATAATAAAGATAAATAAAAAGATATATTGCAGTTTAAAAAATAATGTAAACAAAAAAAAAATTTTGTTTATATGAAAAGAGTTAATTGAAAGAGAGTTAACACATATTCAAAAAATTCGAGTTGCATATACAAATTTTTAACTTAATGAAACAAAAATAAAATTAATGTTGCTTATAAGCTGCAGATGATTCAATATTTTGAATATAATAATTGAAAACAAATGAGAATTTAAATAAATAATTTTTAGATTTTAGTTTTGTGTTTTTAACATATTTTCTTCACCACTGATTTTGTTTTCTATTTTTTTTAAATTACTTTAATGAATTTAAAATATTGTTATTATAAAGGGAGAATCTTGCAAATATGATCCATAAATTGAAGTCAATTGCTAGAATAACCTCTCATTTTACCACTTTTAAAATTAATCACTTTCTCTCAATTCTATTCTTATCAGTTTTATGTATTTACGAAAAGGGAATCTTGCAAATATGACCCACAAATTGAAGTCAATTGCTAAAATAATCTCTTATTTCACCACTTTTAAAATTCCCACTTTCTCTCAATTTTATTTTTATCAGTTTTATGTATTCATGAAAATGCCATTAGATTATTGTTTTTTTTATTATTTCAGAAATTTATTTTACCAAACAATCCTCATCCTCCTCACTTATTCACGAAAATGTCATCACCATCAATTCAGTCAACCACCATTTTCAACCAATTCTAAGCTTTTATTGCTTCAACAACCCATTTTTTAGCTTTGTAACTTCATTTCCTCTTCTCTTAACTTTCTATTCTTCCATTTTTTCTCTATTTTCAGCACAAAAACTCTCTAATCTAACTTTGATGTTCTAAGATATTACCATATCTGGTGATTTAGTCTGGTAAATCGATTGGGCTTGTTTGGTGGTGGCTAGAATCGAAGAAATCGGTGGTTGAAGAAGCTAAATATAACTGGTAAGTGATTTTTCAGTCAATTTTCGTGAGTTTTCAGATCTGTGTCACGAAAGTAGACTTCTTAAGAAGTCTAATTTCGGTAGTAGACTTCAGAAGAAGTCTGCTGGTCAACGCACAGGTTAATTTTGCAATTGACCCTGTGTACCAAATTCTGACACTAGACTTCGGTTGAAGTATGTGCCATTTTCTTTGACAACAAAAAAATAGTGTAGACTTCAAAAGAAGTCTACGTAAAAAGGGATTAGTTTTGCAATTGACCAACCTTTGACTTTTTTGTAAGAACTCTACTCGCAAAAAGTAGACTTCTTCGGAGAAGTCAACTTTCAAAGTAGACTTCTTAGAGGTTAGTTTTGCAATTGACCAAGGTTGACTTTTCCGAGTATACTGCGTTTGAAGTCTACTTAGAAAAGTAGACTTTGTTTGAAGTCTACTTTCTGGGTACACTTCAAACGCAGTCTACTCAGAAATTAATTCAATGTTTGGTCAACTCCAAAACTAACCCAAGTAGACTTCAAACGAAGTCTACCCTGAAAAGTTAGCATTGGTCAATTACAAAACTAATGAAAAAGTCAAAGTTTGGTCAACTGCAAAACTAAACCATTTTTTAAGTAGACTTCTTGAGTAGACTTTTCGGAGTGAGTAGACTTCTTTGAAGAAGTCTACTCATCTTTTGGCAATTGCAAAAGTAACCTAAAATTTAGATTTCATACAAAGTCTACATTTGTAGACTTCGTTGTTAGTCTACTTTTATAAACTTCGTTGTTAGTCTACTATTTCACTTTTTTTTTATAAACACGTTTTTATCAAATTTACAACGAATTTTTAAGATTTTATTGGTCTTACGATTGTTTTAGTAATTGTACTTACATATGTATCAATTTTACATGTTTATATTAGGTGAAATCAAGTTTCTTGCTTTATTTGGTATTTAGCTTATTAGTCTATCTATAGACTTCACTTGAAGTCTACTATGTAGACTTCATTTGCAGTCTACGACATTAATTATTTTATAAAATTAATTGATCATATATTTGTTGCAAATAAAATTTATTCTTTGACTCTTAAGTGTGTGCTATTTATTGTTCTTGCTTATGTAGGAGTTTGACATGTTTGTTTGTTATAGTTTAGCTTTAATACATTTTCTTGTTCTATTTAGTATTTAGCTTATTAGTCTGTAGACTTCACTTGAAGTCTACACAGTAGTCTTCGTTTGCAGTCTGCGACATTAATTTTTTATAAAATTAATTGATTAGATATTTGTCACAAATAAAAATTAGTCTTTCATATTTAAGTGTGTGATATTTATTGTATTTGTTTATGTATGAGTTTGGCATTTTTGTTTTTAATAGTTTAGCTTTAATTAATTTTTTTGTTTTATTTGGTATTTAGTTTATTAGTCCGCAGACTTCACTTGAAGTCTACATAGTAGACTTTGTTTGCAGTCTACTTTTTCGACAATGATTTCTAATGTGGTTTGAATTTTTTTTTCTTACAGAGAATGGTTCACATACCCACTATTTATGGATAATGGGTGAGGAAAGACTTGTTGTGGCATTTCTAAGTAGTTTTACATGTTTTTTTATA